TGCTGGAAGGTAGGCTGGAAGGAGATGTCCTGTGGGAATACCAGCTCTCTGAGGTGTTGGGTGAAACCCTGGATTTATCACCAGCACTTCAGAAAATCAGGCATGTTTGGATGTCCCAAACGTTGTCCAAAAGCTGGGAATTCGAACCTGGCATCCGGCTGCTGCTCGGTGTTAATTTCCAGGTATGGGATCCTGGCATGAGAAGCATGAAGCATGTCAGCGACACATCTGCGCTGTGTGCGGAGCTTCACCTCCTGCTCCCCAGGGGACTTGAACCCTGAAGATGGATTCTCAGTTCTGCCAGGAGCTAAGGCTCCTGAAACTCCCTGCTGAGGTTTTGCCAGACTTACACATGAATTAATTAATGTTTTGTTTGCAGTGAGTTGATGAAGTGGACTTAAATTCATTCCAGTATACTTACTCCCAAGTAATTCATCCTCAGCTCTGATACAAGCACACAGTTCAAGTGGATTACAGCTATTATTTAGTATTATGCCTTGGACACAGTGTACATGAATTTTAACTGAAGATTTATGTCAATGTAATTTTTTTCCAGTAGAATGAAAGAAACAATCTGATTGTTTCACACACACACAAAAAAGCTCAGAAATCATGGGTTCCTGCTGCATTTGAACGCTACTTTTGTACATGGGAAAAAAAAATCAACCCTGAATGTTTAGTTATTCTGTAACCAGGCATTTCGGGTCAAAGACACAGAAGGGATCAAAAAAGATAAGCAAAATTAAACGCCAAGGTCAGATAAGTTCTTCCTAAGAGTAGTGAAGACAAATCCGAGGAGGAAGCAGAACACAAATCAATGTCCTATCTCTACTTCGCTTCCTAGCCAAAGACACTAAAAGTGTCTCCAAGAAGTAAAAAGATATCTCTTGTTAAAGAGTGCCAGTGTTGTCAAGGGAAATACGAAATAAAATACTCACAGCCGTTGCTGAAGAGATTGCTGCTGAGCACATTCACGGTCTTCTGGAGAAGGAGAGGATTCCGGGGCGTAAGGGCCAACTCTAACCAGTAGGAAACTGGTTTGATTTCCATGCTGAGTCCTAAAGGCATCTCGGCCACCTACCTGCATCCTGACACTATTTTTTGGGAGGTATCGGGGTGGGATAGGAACTGCTGTGCTGGTGCACTAAGGCTTGTCCCCGAACCACACCGCTCCACCCCGAGATGATGAGCGGAGGCAGCCCGTCACTTCACCACTGGCTGGGGGACATTGGCCTTGAAGGGCTGCAGCAGGGCTTTGGGGGTCTTCTGTGCGAGAGGAGCTGCTGGACACGTCTGTGCAAACAGCCCGAGGGCAGGATGGGACCCAAACGGGCTCTGTGGAGCCACAGAGGTGCCCTTCAGGGGCTGCGGGTGCTCTGTGTCCTCTGATCAGGTTTCTCCACCAGGTTCTTCACTTGAGGGAAATGTGAGTTATACCATCACACCCAGCTTCCACACAGCCCTTGGGCAATTTTGTTTTGTTTTTTTTTTTATTAAAATATAGATACGTAAATCAAGCCATGGAGGAATCTGGGATGAAGAGAGACCTTCTGGGGCTTTGCAGTCGCCCTGCTGCAGTTACAGCCACCTCTTCACCATGGTTAGCTTTGGAAAGGCATTGGGAAGGTCACAAGGACACTGTAGAAAAGCATTCCCTGGTGTGATGGCACTTTTTAAATTATTCACCTTGAAATGGGGAGGAAAGACAGCAGGATTTACAGCGTGGTGTGATGTCCCGACTCGACCTGCCTCCCCCAGCAGAGAGGAGCTCTTGTTTCCCAGAGGATGCATTTCAGAGTGAGAGCTCCCATCCGATCCCTGCCAAGCCGACGCTGAGCAGTAAAACATGTCTGTTTGGGGATTGTGCCTGTCTGCTGGGTGAAATTTCACAGGGGCAGCCAGAGGAAGCTCTGAATCAGATGTGAGGAGGGATTCAAAGGATGAATTGCACTGGAACACGGCTTCAATGCCAAAGACATTTTATTTCAAGCTGGAAAAATACTGAGATCAGGATGAACATAGGGAGACTGTGCCCATCTCCTGTTAAGCTCAAGCTAACCAGTGCTGGCTGTGCGCTCCAAGCCCATCCCTGGGAGGTATATTACTTAGAATGTCCATTCTCTAAAAAAAAAAAAAAAAAAAGGGCTAATATCTGCTTTATCAGGACATGCTTCGTTCATGCAATGAGCACCGAGCCAGGCAGAGCAAACGTTATCATTTATTTTAACCCCAGGGTAACTGATTACTGAGTGTCATTCTACTCGGCGTGCTCTTTTAATACTGATTATGCCAATAGCTTGAGTAAATAAACTGGAAATTCCTCCAGTTTATTCTTTGGGGAAAGGCCGTTCACCTCGTGCTGTATGGAGCCACTAGAGAGGTGGGGTGTTTTTTTCAGGGGTTGGAGTGAACCTCACCTGTTGGACTGGCCTTCACACATGACTCAGGAGCAGAATGAATCACAGCTCATAGCGTACCGAGAGCGGGACGAAAGGCAGCCTTGTCGCCGTAGTAAGGAGACAGCTTCAGACGGCAGGGCTTAAAGAAGAAATGTAGCTTCCTCTCCGCTGGGAACTGCACGTTTCTGGTGAGTTAGCGGAGATTAACGGACATTCCTGGTGCACTAGCTGGTGGGTTAATTTATAGCTATCTGTAAGGAAAGGTTTGTTTATCTACAAGGCTTATCTTATTTCAGTTAGAAAGCTTGGTTCCCTGGAAATTTGAAGCAAAAGCTGTGTAACTTGTTGAAGAAGGGACTCAATGGCAAGTCAGCGGTAGGCTGGGATAACTCTTGTATATCAACAGCCTGGGAAGCAGTCAAAGGGAAGTATTTACTATAACTCACATTTGCTCTGGAACTTTTGACTTTACAAAGGTTAAAAAATAGTACAGACTGCCCTCTTGCTTTAGTATTTTAAATATTAAAACATTTTTCTTGTGTTCTTTAATTGAACTCGGTCCTTAATGTGCCTTTATAAACCATCCCATCCGTTTGTATCGCCATGGTGTGGCATTGTATATCCTCTAGGAATCCCAAAGATAGGGCATCCCACTTTTATATTTGGAATAACTGATGCTTTTTAACATTTAGCACAATCAGTTAAGATAAGATAACCATCGGAGAGAGTGTCGGAATGACAAGAGGAGACTATTTTGCAAAAACTGGGACATTTTTAGTGCATTGTCCCATATTGTGTAGTGGATATTGAGCAGGGAGTCCAGAGGGTTGTTATCATCCCAGCAGAAGCTTGATGGTCTTTCCAGAAGAGTTTTTTTTCCCCATCTTTACTTACATCAATATAGTAAGTATCTCAAAACCTCTCATTTGCAGAGTGAGGGCATCATCATGCTTGGTAAGCAACCTTGAGTATTAGATGTGGTAAAAACCAACCTAGAGGGCACACGGTGGTTTCACAGCAGCATGTGCTGCGCCCTGGCTGGAAAGAGTCCACATGCAGCTGGGGACAGGTGTGTTCCCACATGGGACAGGCCCCTCGCCAGGTTACAGCAGTCTTTAGCGCACCGATCCCTCAGCTCTGCTTTGTGCATGTGGTGCATCTCAGATCTCTGAAGGCTCCCATCATGGGGAAGGATTTTACCATGTAAGTGCTGGGATCAAGATGTAGAGCAAAAAGCAGTCACTTGCCATTTTTCTGTGCTTTCCTGAGATTTCACAGGATGCCACCAAAGTCCACAGATCCTGATTTTGAACAAGACGATTTAGGACAGCATTGGTGAGTGACTCTGTTCCTGAAGTGTGGACAGCATTTAAATTTTGCAGCTTTTGATGTGCACATGCCATTTGCAAAAAGAAAAAAAAAATCACAAAATTGTTCACGTGTAAATATAAACTCAAAGTAACAGAGGTAAGGTGTTTCCTTGAGAGTTTCTTTCTGCCTCCTTCCATACAAGCTTAAAATGCCTGAACTTTCTCTCACTTGAGTTCCCCGCATTGTGCGCTAGTGGGAAGCAACCTCAGAAGGGTCTTGGGTGTCTTCAGAGGGCTAGGAGACCAAAAAAAAAAATCTCTCTTTCAGGCTGGAAGATCCAAACTCTCAGAGCATGTCCAGCCCACCTGTGGGACTCACTGTTTCCTTACTGGGGAAACTGGTGGTGCAGGCAGTGTTCTGGATCCTGCTCAGGGCCTCTGCTGGGGTAGATACAGCGGCCTGAGAACGTTTTGCTTTTGTAGCTTTGATGAATGAAACTTCCAAACTAGTTTGGTCAGTTTGATGTAGATGTAAAAGATCTTTAAAATAACAGAGATTTCCCTTAAAAGCTTTTACCGAATTTTCCTGTTCATGTATGATAAATATCCATTCTGCTACTGTATTGTACTTGAGACATCCCAGCCTCCCATGTCTGGGGGAGATTTGGTGATGCTGAAGACCTTCTGAAGGAGTGAAGAACCTTTAGCAGCTTTCTAAGCACCCCTGCTGTGCATGGCAGCTTTAGTGCGGACACCAGGAGGTGGCCTGCAAGTTATGAAACACCTTAGGAGAAAATCAGCAACGTGCATGTCAAATATTCCTGTTCGAGGAAATGATTAGACAGAAGCCTTGCACAGCAAGATTTAACACATTCAAGTGGCGCGTCTTATTAGGGTGTTACAGACTTTTAACTTGATTTCATTGGCACCAAGACTGTATTTCCTCCTTTCTGAGGAGCAATCCATGTGAATAACCTCAGGGTTACGTGGACGGTAGGGTAATTGGTGTACCTGACTGCAGGGAGCAGCTTTACCCATATTTTCTGAAATAGAGTCAAAGTGAACCGTGTATTTGAGAGTGCCGTCCTCAAAGAATTGCTAGGAGGTGGTGTTCTGGCAGCAGGGAGCAAGCCTGCATGCCTGGTTGGCTATAAAATGTGAACTTTGAATTGTGAAGACATTGAGAAGGGGGGGGAGAAATAGTAGCAATCATTAGGTCTATAACCGATAGGACAGATGCTTCCCTGAGGAGTCAGCAGCAGCGTTGTTGACACGCCTGGCACGGTGGAACATGCTCGTGAGCGATTTCCAGAAGGCAGACAGTGCTAGGCCACGCTACAAAGGTGGGTAGAAGTTGCGAGTATCAGACAGTTGTAAAAGCCTGAGTCTTCATGTAATAATTAATGGCCCGTGGGGCCAGCGTGTCTGAGGGACGCGTGTGTTGTGGTGTCATTCACCTGTGAGTGACGGTTCAGATGAGGCCAGTGAGCAGCGGGCTGGGGACAGCCAACCCAACCATCTCAAACTGACAGCGGAGAGACGGGAAAGCCCTCTGCTCAGGTCAGGTCCCTCCAAAGGAGGCTGAAGAACCGAGTTGGACAAGCAGCCGTAAAAGCTGGATTGATGCCACTGACAAATGAGGGACTAAAGGTCAAGGAGGAGCTTTCTGCTTCCCTGAGGAATGGAAGGTCACTTTTTCTCAATGGCAAGCTGGGTTTTCCTCCTCTTGGAGTGGAGCCCTCCGGTTCCTCATCTCCATGCCCTTATTCTGCCACCCCTGCATTGGCAGCAGGTTATCACTGTCCACAAAGTGTGTATTCCTGAAGGATTGCGGCAGGGGAGCAAGGAAGGAAGCAGTGAGGTTGGCTGGGGAGAGGCTGGCTCTTAGCAGTCAACCTCACATCTGCACAGGGTCACCTGAGCAAAGGGCCCAGCCCCATGCAGCAGACCCTGTCCCAGACCCCCTCTGCTGTCACCTCAGCAGCTCCCAGGATGTCTGCACCCTGTCCTGGCAGCTCAGACTCTGTCACAGAAGAAAACAGCCACCGCGGCTGCAGGGGTGCATCCGGGCCCCTCTCTGAATATGACACTGGAGCAGCGAGGGGAATCAGTGTGAGCACAGAGTCATTTGAAAGATCATCACTTCTGCTTGGGGTTTTGTCTCTTTTCGTCTCCTGTAGACACCAGAGGAAGAACATGCTGGCCTGCTGTCTCCAGTCCCTCTGAGTAATAACTTGTGTAATTTTCCGGGCTCCCACTGATAAAACCAGTGGCACTGAACAGTGGGAGATAGCAGAAGCAGCTTTGACATTATCCCTCCCCTCTCGTCTCTCTTTCTTTCCCAGGTGTCCACACACTGAAGAAACACTGGTGAAGGCGTGATCCATCCCAACTGCATGTAAAAATATGAAGTTCTTCTGGATCATCCCATTTTTCCTGCTGCAAGGTAGAGTCTTGGCTTAGAGGACAGTGGTGTGGGTGAAGCGGGTCACACGTGCTGAGGCTGTGCCTCTTCCCAGGCTCGCACCCACGCCAGGCTCAGCAGGGGTTACAAGAAAACTGGCTTTAGGGCAGGTTTGCGGGAGCTGGATGCACGTGTGCAAGAGTTTCCAGCATGGTTGGATGACCTTACAAGTGCTGGATGACCTAGGAAGTGTCTCCAGTGTCTCTGTTTCTGGGAACATCTGCCCTAGACATTGTGTGTGCGTAAATGACCGGTGCTTAGGGGATGGCCACGCTCATGTGCTGGTTTCTTTGCAGATACTGACTCTTTTCTGATGAAAAATGCAAAAGTCAAGCTGTGTTTACAAGCCAGCCCGATGAATGGGGATTTATTGCTGGAGGACTGTAATCCAGAGTCAGATTTCCAGGACTGGTCTTGGCAAGGCGATTCTTTGATGAATCACGGCACGCAGAGCTGCCTCTCCATCATGGGGACCGACAGAGTGCAGACAAGCCTCTGCGGCAGCGTGGGGTACACCAGCTGGGACTGCTCCAATTCGCTGCTCTCTCCTCTGGGCAGCAGCCACGGCTACCTGGTGGCAAACAGGAAAGGAATCGCTCTCGATAACGTGAGAGGCCTCAAAGCCCAATGGCAAGATGCTGCAGACAGGAGCGTGTGCGAGGAGAAAGCCGGTAAGTGCCGCACGCCTGGTGACCAGTGACACAAACACACACCCTGCTGGGGAGTGTGGAAAGGCACAGTCAGCATCCTGGGGTCTTTCCAACCCTGGGAGCCAAGGGGAAGAACATTTCTAGCTTGAAGTTCTGCAGTGAGCGACTGTTGCATCTTTCTGCTCTTTTGCTCCACAGCTGATGCAGAGCAAGACCGGCACTTCCCTGCAGCCCTGGCCAGCACGCGCATGTCTGAGCAGACGGCAGGCAACGCGACCCTTGCGCTGGGTATAGATCAAAAAGAGCTGGAGGACCTGCTCTGGTTCTTCCGCAGAGAAGACCGTAAGTCCCGTTGACATTCCTGTGGTGAGAGTTGAAACAGAGATACGCAGTCCTGGGCTGTTAGTGCTCCTGCCTGACGGAGATGCCCAAGGGAATTACCCCAGGAGGTGATTTACCCCAGATGGATAAACTCTCAGCCTCACTTCCAGAAGCAGCGGGCCATGGGAGAAGGCACGCGTGAGGCTTTGCTGAGGTCCTGTCTCCTCCCAGAGCAGGACTCAGCCTCTTTCCAGGAACAGCCTGACAAGAGAGCAAAGGTCTGGGGTGACCAGTGATTTTTGGTAGGGTGGAGGGAGCAGATCGATAATGAGCAGGTCAGCGCCCCGAGAATCAACGTCAAAGCCACAAAAATCAAGGATGGAGCATCCGCTGCCATCTGTGCTGCACACCCCAGTGTTCGAAGGCAAAATCTGACTGCCTGAGCGAGGCAGCGGCAAGAAAGGCTGCAGAGCCGGGGGTGGCCCTTCTAGCAGTGCTTATAGTGGGGAGCTGCAGCTCTCAGCCTTGCTCCCACGTTTGGGGACAGCTGCTCACAGCTTGGCCAAGGTTGAAAAGCCACGTGTGGCAGATGGGTCAGCGGGAGAGACACAGAGCCCAAGGGGGGCTGTGAGCAGCAGAAAGCAGTTGTGTAAGTTTCCTGCCTGAAGTTATCCCCAAAAATGTGACCTGGGTGCTCTGCTCTGGGTGCTGGGCTGGACACCAGCACCTCTGCCCTCGTCCTGCAGCCGAGCCGTGGCACCCTGAGTTTGGGGATCCTCAGAAACGCTTGGCTGGGCTGTGTGGCCACACTGCGCTGTGCGTGCTAACGCTGCCTCTCTGTGCTTCCCCCAGCGTCAACGTGGAATTACTCCATCCTTGCACTTTCCTTCGTGGCCATGATTTTGGGTCTTGTCCTCTTGGCCATTAATATTGTGCGAAACAGGTGAGTCAGGGAAATTTGGGGGGCTTTTGGTGTGTGATAGTGTGCTGAGTCCCCCCAGATGTGGGTTTGTCAGGGCAGGAACAAGCCCTGAGCAATGGGGAGAAGAGGAAAAACAAAACCCCTTTGCACCATGCTTCGTTGTAAAACCTTGCCTGACTCCTGCTCTCCTCCTGTGTCACTTGGAATGAGCCACTTCCCTTTTTTGGGCCCTGAGCCTTCACCAGAAAAGCGTCTGCACCAGCTCTGCCCCATCCAGCAGGGCTGTTAGGAGGGAAGTGACATGAAACGTGTAGTGTGAGTGCTCTCCCATATGTCCAGGGACATACAGGGACTGGAGAGTGGGACTCCGCAGCCTTTCCCCAGCTGCATTCCACCATATTCCCCTGGGCCACACTGCTGCACAGCAACGCTGCAGCTGAGGGGCGACTCGCTCTTCTACAGCAAGAAAACAGACATCTGGGGCAGAGCTTTCGTCTTACAATGAGAGCAGAAGGGCTTATGGTACAGGTCTGCCATGCTCTCGTTTTAACGAAGGCTTCTGGGAGTGATTGTCTCGCTTTGGGCGAGCTTCCCTCCGCATTTCTGTGCCTTCCCTGCAGGAAAAGGAAGATCGATGTGTATAAAGAAGCGATGCAAACGGCGCAACAGGCTGAGCTGGAAGCCAAGCAAGCCCTGGTGCCTCTGCAGGAGTACAGCCCGCCCGAACCACGGAAGCAGGAGCCCCAGGATCAGAGATCGGGAGACGTGGTGGTGCAGTGGAAGGACGGGACTGTCACGTCTCTGTACGCAGAGAAGCCCGAGGAAGCTATATAACGGCAGCTGAATTTAAACCATTTAGCCCCTAAGGAATGGATCAGAATGTCTCAATTCCTAGTGATGGAAGTTTAAAAACGCTGTTTAGCCTGGAGAAAAAAAAGAGAGGAAAAAAGCAGCAGAGCTACACCCGCAGACGTGGTTCTGGACTCGAGGCAAACCTGTGCCTCCCCCATTCCAGCTCCCAGGCTTTACTCACTGTGCTCACCTGCCTCCAGCCTTCCCTCCCGTGCCAGCTTCACCCAATGTCTCAATTCCTAGTGATGGAAGTTTAAAAACGCTGTTTAGCCTGGAGAAAAAAAAGAGAGGAAAAAAGCAGCAGAGCTACACCCGCAGACGTGGTTCTGGACTCGAGGCAAACCTGTGCCTCCCCCATTCCAGCTCCCAGGCTTTACTCACTGTGCTCACCTGCCTCCAGCCTTCCCTCCCGTGCCAGCTTCACCCCCTCCCTCAGATCCCACCTGCCTCCTGAGCCGGGGCGGGAGGTGGGAGGAGGTGGGAGACTTTTCCTGCAGTCAGCCAGGGAACACGCTGTCCAGTCCCATCAGAAAAACAGCCACACAGAAGCGTAGGCGCTTTTGTTCTTTTCAGAAATCATCTTTATTAAAATATTTTCCAAAGTGGTTGATCAAAATCCCGTATTAACTCTCTATCGGTAAGGTCATATATATATCTGTGGATTTATGTACAAATATACACGTGGAGATTTTACTCTGTAGAGGAACTGCAACTCCAGGGAGAAGCAGAACATTTAACCTGATACAGCAACTGAAACCAAACAGACAGCCCTTCGCCCTGGCTTGGGCACGGGTGTGCTTCAGGGTTCCCTTCATGCCTTTCACTGGGCACATGTAGAAGCCAGGAAATAATTTAAGACATTTTTAGAAATCTATGAGTCTTTTAAACAGAGGCTTTTCAGAGCATTTCCTCATTAGTGAAGCATTTCTCCTTGCAAAACCTTTGAAAAGGAACATTCTGGTATAAAAAGTTGGTTAAAAACACTGTTATTTTGGTAGGACTTGTTTCGATGCATGGGAATTGGTTTCAGAACACCTGAGGCCTTTAGTTGGCTGAATAAAAAAAATAAAAATTCCTCCTACTTATTGCTCAGTCAGGGGACCCGTGAGATGAACGAGACGGGTGCCTCCACACCTGATTAATGATTAATTCTCCCTCCCTGGGCTCCCATCGCTGTGTGCCGGGTGCCCACGCTGGCCGGGGGGACCCTGGGGATGTCCCTCGCCCTCCTGGTAGTGCCCACGGCTCCCACTGCTCTGAGAGCTCCCTGGATCCACCAGGCTGGGGCCAGCAGCAGGACAGGGTGCAAACACCGCAGCAGCGCTCGGCTGGGGGGGATAAGAGCTGGGGAGAGGGCAGGCGGAGCAATGGCACGGCCGATTTCGGACTCTTGACACCCCATCTACTTGTCAAATTGCCACCACGGGCTTTGCCCCAGCGCAGGGACCAGGGCCACCATCCCCAGCGGCTGCTGCGGTGGCTGTGAATCCGTCACAGATGGTCTCAGGGGGACCAGGGTCTCTCGCCGCCCCCTCCACAGCCCGCAGGGACACGTCCTAAAATATCTTAAAGCCTTTCAGCAAGGTGAGCGTGGGAGCTTTCCTCTTGCTCTGCGCCCGCGAGGACTTGACGGTGACCAGCTTGGCCTGGGCCACCGAGGGGATCTCCTTGTAGTTGACGGTGGAGAGGGGGTTGAAGGTGCAGGTGGCCAAGCCCTGGCGGGTGGGCAGGGCCACCGGCGTGGCCACCGGCGGGCAGGGACGCTCCTCGGTGATGAAAAGTGGCCGGATGGGCATTGTCCCCTCCGCCTGGCGCCGTACCTCCCGTACGGCTTCGTGGAAGACGTGCTGCACCCCCGTGAAGTCCTGGCACGCCGACACCTCGTAGAAGAGGCACCCAAACCTGGTGGCCAGGGCCATCCCTTCGGCCGCCGGCACCTGCCTGGCGAGAGCAGAGGGGACAGTGCAGCATCCCTTGGGGACCTGCGACCGTCCCAAAAGGGGAGCGAGGGGTGCAGGCGGGGATGAATGGACCCCCCGTATCCCACCAGGATGCAGCACCTGCTCGTTTTCCCCCATCCTGGGATAAGCAGGGGACGTGAGTCCAAAAGAGTTTTGTTTTTCCCAAAATTCCTGGGGAATTGTGTGACCTCCCGTGCTGGGGATGGGTGCCATGGACGCAGGGGACTGATGGGTGTGCATGGGGACGTGGGGAGGGTGAAGCCTCTGTGCTCGGAGCACGGGGGGGTTCCGCAATGGATGGGGGGGTTCATGACTCAGGGACCCGTGGGACCAATGCTCAGCACAGCCCCAGAATGTCACAAAAGGGCAGAAAAACACCTCGGGGACATCCCGTCCTGGCAGCAGGGACAGGGCAAGGAAGGGCTCCAGGGAAAGGGCATGTCAGGAGGGGAGCGAGGAGCTGGAGCAGGATCAAGCGCTGCCCGGGGACGGTGACGCTGCTTTACCCACGCAGCCGAAAAAAACATCGCGCTGAAAATCCCAACAAGCCCAAAATACCCACATCCCCCCAGGCAGGAGAGCAGGAACCACGGAGATGGGGCAGGACACGGTGAATACTGCTGGGGGGTGGCAACAACCAAAAAAAAAAAATCGGATATGGGTTTTGCATCCCAGCTGGAGGGATGAGGGGGGGTCTGTGAGCTCTGCCCCCACGGGAAAAGCCAGTCCCACCCTGGCCCATACCTGTACTGGTCCATGTCCAGCTTGTTACCCAGTAGGAGCGCAGGGCAGCGGTGCCGGCAGCCCCTCGCGTGCCGGGCGAGGATCTCCAGGTAGCGCTGTCAGCCCTCGAAGCTCCTCCGATCGTCGATGCTGTAGACGACGAGGAAGGCGCTGGCCCAGCGCAGGTAACGCTCGCAGTTCCCGGGGCCGTCCTGGGGGACCAGAGGAAGGGCTGAGCCGTGGTCCAGCTGTGGTCCAGCCATGGTCCAGCTGTGGTCCAGCCGTGGTCCAGCTGTGGTCTGGCCACATCCCACGGGGTGTTTGGTGGCACCCCAGAGCCTCACCTGGTCGGCGGTGTCCATCACCTTCAGCAGCACCGGCTGCTGGTCCACCAGCTCCTCCGAGGTGTAGGTGTCCTCTGCAGGGAGAAGAGTGAGGATGGGTTGGGGTGTCCCAGCTTCTCCAAAGCCAAGCCAAGCCAAGCCATGGATGCTTGGGACATGGTGGAAAAATCCCAGCCCCTTGGGACACAGTGGAAAAATCTCAGCCCTGGATGAGGAGCATCCTCCCAGCTCGCTCCCCCCTAGGACAACGTTATTTGGGGGTGATGCTGGGCTGGGAGCTGTTATTTCCCCCCCCATGCCACAAGCATGGCTCCCATGGGAGATGGAAGGAGCCCAGAGTGGCTGTCACGGCACCCAGGGCTCAGCCCTTATCGAAAAGCCACAACCTGGGGAGATAAAGCGAGCTGGGGGCTTGACAGCAGGGCTGGTTCCCAATAAATCAGGCAAAAGGACCCCCCCCCTTTTTTTGGGGGGAGGAGGGCGGGCAGGGAGAACCACTGAGCTGTTCCCCTGGGAGGAAGATGCTTTCTCCCAGCCGGGTCCTAACGGATGGGTTTCGGAAAGGTTTTGACGTGGGAAGATGAAAGCACATTCCCAAAAAAAGATCTGAGGAGGAAAGGATTTGTTCTTCTTTCCTAAGAGCTTCTGAGTTATTAAAGGCTGGAGCCGGTTCCTGGATAAGGTCCATATCTCCCTAATGTCCCCAATAAATCATTTACGGTTCTTCCCCACGCCCTGGAGTCAAGCCTAGGAAAATAGTTATTAATTACTCAAACGAGTGGAAAAAAAATTTTAAAAAATGCCCAGAACCTCTGTCTGCAAAGCGCAGCCCCCAGGGCCACCCGTCCTGCATCCCCGCTCACTGCCCCGGCTCCTCCCTGCCCCAGGAGTCAGGAGATGCTCCCCAAGGATCCCCAAAAATTCGATTTTCAGTTTCTTCAGGGTGATGCAAGGAGCCAACGTCCCCCCGTGGGACGTGCCCGTGGAGGGAGCGCCGCTTTCACCGCTGTTTTTACAGTGGGTTTGGGTCAAATCCAGCCCTTCCGTTGTTTTTCATGTCATTTTCAGTGTGGGTTTTTTGTTGGGGTTTTTTTTTTCCCCCCCTTAAATGCCATATTCGTGGGAAATGCAGGAGACAGGAAGGATGCTCTGTAGGGGACAACCT